GAAACAAACAAGTCATGAAGCACCTCTGCTGTTTCCACATTTTCTGTTATTGTCTTTCCCCCCTGATTGAGTAACAGGCCTACTCTGTCCTTGGTCTTCCTCTTGCTTCTGATGTATTCGTAGAATGTTTTCTTCTTTCCTTTTATGCAGTGATGAGCTGCCAAAATCTTAACAACCGGTTCCCTCCTCACCCCACGAGGGGGTCATGGACCGCCCCCGCCCCGGGGACTCCTGCCCCATCCAACCCCGTGTTCCTTGACACCCCCCCCCCAGACTCCTTCCCCATCCACCCCTGTCCCCGACTGTCCCCAGAATGGGGCAGGAGGGTCTCGTGGGCCACCGTAGTAGGTGCCCACGCCACGAGCCAGAGGGACCTGCCGGGGGACGAGGTGGGGAGTCCCGGCGGTGCTTACCTGGGGCAGCTCCCAGGAAGCATCCAGCAAGTCCCTCTGGCTCCTAGGGGCAGGGTAGCGTAGCTGGGGGGGGAGCAGCCGCTCCCCCCACTGATCACACCAAAAGTGGCACCTTAGGCACCAACTTCGTGGGTGCTCCGGGGCTGGAGCACCCACGGGGAAAATTTGGTGGGTGCATAGCACCCACCGGCAGCTCCCCGCCCGGCCCCAGCTCACCTCACCTCTCCTCCACCTCCTCCCCTGAACGCACCACCCCGCTCTGTTTCTCCGCCCTCCGGCTTCCCGCAAATCAGCTGTTCACACAGGAAGCCTGGGAGAGCTGAGAAGCAAGCGGCGGCTTCGCGCTCAGCCCCAGGGAGGTGGAGGTGAGCTGGGGCAGGGAGTGGTTCCCCTGCATGGCCCCCCGGGGTTACCTACTGCGGCGCGGGCAGCCCTCCTCGTGCCCCCCCGCCCCAGCTCACCTCCGCTCCGCCTCCCTGGGCCTTAGTGCAAAGCCGCCACCTGCTTCTCAGCCCTCCCAGGCTTCCCACGCGAACAGTTGATTCGCAGGAAACCAGGGTGGGGGGGGTGGATGAAGCAGAGGAGGGTAGCGTGTTCAGGGGAGGAGGCGGCGGCAGAGTGGAGGTGAGCTGGGGCTCGGTGCGGGCCGGGACACTGCCGGTGGGTGCTCTGCACCCCCCAAATTTTCCCCATGGGTGCTCCAGCTCCGGAGCACCCACGGAGTCAGCACCTAAGGCGCCACTTTTGGCCGGTTATCAAATTTAGAAGCCCTTTTAGAACCAGTTGTCCCGTGATTCTAAAAGGGCTTCTAAATTTAACAACCGGCTCCAGCAAACCGGTGCGAACTGGCTCCAGCTCACCACTGCTTTTATGTCCCTAGCTAGTCTGATCTTGTTTTGTGCCTTGGCTTTTCTAATTTTGTCCCTACATACTTGCATTTGTTTATATTCATCCTTTGTCATTTGAACAAGTTTCCACTTTTTGTAGTATTTTTTTTTCGAGTTTTAGATCACTGAAGATCTTCTGGTTAAGCCAAGGTGGTCACTTGCCATACTTCCTATCTTTCCTACACAGTGCGATAGTTTGATATTGTGCCCTTAATGTCTCTTTGAAAAACTGCCAACTGTCTTCAATTGTTTTTCCCCTTAGACTTGCTTCCCATGGGATTTTACCTACCAACTCCCTGCATTTGCTAAAGTCTGACTTCTTGAAATCCACTGTCTTTATTGTGCTGTTCTCCCTCCTAGCATTCCTTAGAATCATGAACTCTACCATTTCATGGTCACTTTCACCCAAGTTGCCTTCCACTTTCAAATTTTCAACCAGTTCTTCCCTATTTGTCAAAATCAAATCTAGAACAGCCTCTCCCCTAGTAGCTTTCTCCACCTTCTGAAATAAAAAGTTGTCTCAAATAAATTCCAAGAACTTGTTGGATAATCTGTGCCCTGCTGTGTTATTTTCCCAACACTTGTTTGGACAGTTGAAGTCCCCCATCACCACCAAGTCCTGTGATTTGGATGATTTTGTTAGTTGTTTAAAAAAAGCCTCATCCACCTCTTCTTCCTGCTTTGGTGGTCTATAATAGACCCCTACCATGACATCACTCTTGGTTTTTTACCCCTTTTATCCTTACCCAGAGACTTTCAACAAGTCTGTCTCTTATTTCTACCTCAACCTCAGTCCAAGTGTATACATTTTTAATATACAAGTCAACACCTCCTCCCCTTTTTTCCCCTGCCTGTCCTTCCTGAGCAAGCTGTATCCTTCTATAACAATATTCCAGTCATGCACATTTGACTGATTAGGGAAATAAACACTCTTCTCTCCAATCTATTACGAAATGAATTGTGCTTTATCTGATTTTAGAGTTAATTTTCCATGGATTCTTAGAGCATCTCATGTTTGACCTCAGACTTTGGCTTCATGGTAATTTCAGTAGTCTTATAATGCCTAGTTTTAGGAAGGGTACTTCCACTAGTACTTGGAATAATGAAATAATGATTGCAAATTATTCCCCCTTATTCTATGTCACACTCCTGGGCTAATATTTATTTAGAACACGAAATTTCACAACATTGGGCCAAGTTCAGCAAATCTACACCTTCCTAAATTGGCTACATTCATGGTGCCAAGCTTCTGCATGGCAGCCCAAGTTCTTCTTTGGTCAGTCGGTCTCTCTCACACACACACACATCGTAAGTGTTTTTAATATGGGTTACTCTAGTTATGAGGTGATCGTTTCTTCATGTTTATTTTGTAAGTAGCAGAAAGTACCAAAGACATGGCTTTCTTTATGTTAAGGGTGACAGAAACTAGAGTGCTGCAACTCAGTAGAGCCATTCTGGGGTTTACATATTTACATTCTTAGGCTTTGTCTACACTAGTACACTGATAGTACACTATAGTACAGATCTTACATCGGTACAGCTATACCTCTGCAGCTGCACTGCTGTAAGGTCTCCCATGTAGTCGCTCTATGTCAGCTGGAGGGAGCTCTCCCGCTGGCATAATAAACCACTCCTCATGAGCAGTGGCAGCTATGTCAACAGGCGAGCGTCTCCTGTCAACATCGCACTGTCCACACCAGTGCTTCTGTTGGTGAAACTTTTATCGGTCGGGAGGTGTTTTTTCACACCTCTCACTGACAAAAGTCCTAGTGTACACAAAGCCTTAGTCCGGGTAGATTATCCCCTTGATGAAGTTCTCCCCCTGCTTTCTCACTAGACACTACACAATTAGAGCAGCTTTGTCTACCAGAGCACAAGAATTACATCTATTTTAATTGGGTACTAATTTTGTTGTAACATTGGAAAATTTCCTTTTTAAAAACCTTGATAAATTGCATGCTGTATCACTTATAGAGAACCCTATGACCCCTATTCAGGGTCATAACCCAAAGTTTAGAAATGCTGTCACACATTAAACTGGTGTGCGAAGACTGTATTAATTGAATAAAAATGTGCTACAAGAACATACAAAATGAAGCTGGGGGTGAGGCAAACAGTGGTAGGACAGGTAAATCAGTCCAAACAAAAATAATTTTATTTTCGTTTGTAGCACTCAGAGGTTTTGGGAAATGCTAATTTCAAATACTCAGAAGATCAGTAACACAACAGCCTCAATCCTAATTACTTTTGACCCCAAAATTCTAATGGACTTGAATGGGAATTTTGGATTCACAAGAAATGCAGAATCAGATCCCCAGTGAGCAGAAGAGAAAGGAATAAAAGATAGAGCATACTGATATTACAAAACCTTTTCCATTTCCAAAATAGCCAGTAATGCCTGTACTTTCTTGGGAACGATCACAGAAACTTGTATAAAGAAAAGGAGTACTTGTGGCACCTTAGAGACTAACCAATTTATTTGAGCATGAGCTTTCGATGAAGTGAGCTGTAGCTCACGAAAGCTCATGCTCAAATAAATTGGTTAGTCTCTAAGGTGCCACAAGTACTCCTTTTCTTTTTGCGAATACAGACTAACACGGCTGTTACTCAGAAACTTGTATATAACTTTGGAAACCAGATGGAATGATAAAGTAGTGACAGATATTTTTATTTTTTTAAAATAAATCTGATGACCATTAAGTACAGCGAAGCCCAACTATGTGTAATTGTTACCTAAGCCTCCCAACTCACTCCTACCTCAATTATCTGTTGCATCCACCTGTTGTTTATTGTCTGAAATATAGAATTTTCCTGAGTAAGTTTCCTGAGGCAGGAATTGTTTTGTTAGTTATCAGTGCAGTGCCGAGCACAATGGGGCTCTGATCCTTGATTAAGATTATAGGTGCTAATGTAAAATAAATACTAAATATGAAGAAAAAGTAAAAAGTTGGGTTAGAGCATGTTGTATTCACACTCCAGTATTAACTGAATCTGATTTATTTCAAAGGTTAAAAATGTTTAGAAACATACAGAGAAAAATATTTAAGATCTCAAACAATTAACAAATATACACATAGGCTTTAAGATAGGGACTTCCAAAGGACTCTGAGTAACGTAGGCATTCACCTTCCTACTGAATTTCAAAGTAATTTGGATACTTAGCTCCCTCAGACACCTTTGAAAATCCCAGTCTAAAACTACAAATACATACTTAAACAGAATAGTTTATGATCAGTTTCTCTTCTATTTAAATATCAAGAGCCAAGTTAAGTCCCTCAGGGTCTGAGTTTTCCCTGCTACAGTTGCTCTAACCAGTATTTAGAGCATAATAAGATGTAGTGAGATCACAGCTGGAACTCCACATTATCAATGACATTCGCTACTACAGCACCACTACAGTCAACCTGTTTTATCTATTTTATGATCTGAATAAACCTAATGAAAGGATGAAAGTTTAAAAGAAAGGGCCATCACATACCCCATGAATTCTTTAGAAAACTGTACTATCAAGAAATGTGTAAATATATATTATTACAATTAATCTGTCTTATTTCAGCTTTGTGATATTTCATCAACTGAGCTGCTTGAAACAGAAATGTCACTTTGTTTTATTATAACTATTTTCAGGCAATAATAATTATTAAAGGCAATAATAAAAAGAGCTAAAATGACCACTATTTATTAGTCAGTAGTAAAATACCTTTAGCCACAGCTTCTTTATACTTCTCTTTGGCAGAGTTAACTTCTTTTATTAATTGTCTGTAATTAGATTTTAATTTCTCCAGTTCTGACTTTGTAACCTATGAATAAAGCAGAAATAGGAAAGTTACTAAAACACTTACCTTTAGGAGTTAAAGGCTTCTTAACATTAGGAAAAAATAATTACAGGATTTAATTTCAAAGATATTAAGGATGTATGCTTTTTTCATTATTTCAGAGATGCTCTTGAATATATTGTCATATGCTATCATTAAAAGAAAAAAAAGTCTGGTGTGTAAGGGGGCCCTGCTGTCATCACAAATGTGTGGTGGAGCACATCAGGACATCTAACTTATTATTACTGTGATAATGCCCAAAGATCACAATAAAATCTTGCTAGAAAAAAAAGCAGGATTTTAATTAGCTACTGTTTACGCTTATCTGATTCCTTGTTACACGAAAAGAATTTCTTCCAAAGCCTAAAACAGAAAAGTGACAAAAGAGCTTCTGGATTTTAAAAATCTCTCAAAAGCCCCTAAAGGTGCCTTTGGATAGAAGAGTTAATCTCTTGTGAGTCAGGCCAACAACTATGAGGTCTAGAGGAGCAACTGGCTCCTACAAAGAGATTGAGAATGGGGATCAGAGAAACATTCTTTCCATAGACAACTGGACCAGCTCCGTGAACCAGGACATTTTTGGCAAAGGAGCTACAAGAATAGCATTGCCTTTTACAGTTCTAATATTTAGCACATTGTGGAGGAAAGGAAGTGAGCAGCAAGTACAAAAGACCACTGTAGTATGGGACTGAGAAGACATCTGACAACCCAATGGGCTCTGGTATCAAAAACAAATCCTGAAGAGCTGTCCTTGACAAGAGAGGCAAAAGAGATTCTTTGATAGAGTGACCTCAAACATTCATGGACTAAGAGAGATCACTTGTGCTCAGTCAACCTGAGAGAACACTTAGCTTTTCTGCAAAATGGACTGGTCTTAGGCCAATACATTTTTTATCCAGTATGAGGAATGTGAAGATTGGGACAGTTGGGGTTCATGATTCTCTTTTGCTAGGTCACATAAGCCTCAGCTACTGAATTGTTTTACAAAACTAGCAATTGGTTACCTGTCAGAACTCCACAAAAAGCAACCAAAGCACTTCTTTCAATTCTTAGCTCGAGTCTAAACCAGTTATGAGGCAGTTTAAGTCAGAGCAGGACCATTTCTTATGTTATCCTGCTCCCACAAGCATGCATGCATGCACATACTCAAACAGTCAGATTTCCATGTGTTGTTAAAATAGTCCAATAGACACTGGACAGGAAAGGACTTTTTGACAGACTAGACCAAAGATGGGCAAAGTACGGCCCACGGGCCACATCCAGCCTACAGGACCCTCCTGCCCAGCCCCTGAGCTCCTGGCCTGGGAGGCTAGCTCCCGGCCCCTCCCCCGCTGTTGCCCCTCCCCCACAGCCTCAGCACACCATGCTGCCAGTGTAGTGTATTAAACTGCTCCGCATAGGAATGTGCTACTGTTGGCAGTTACGGAGAGCAATTTACTACACTACACTGGTGCAATGCTCCGGGCAGCACAGCTATAGCACCGCCAACCACCGGTGCTCTGTGCTGCGCGTTAAGAGGGCAGGGAGCAGCGGGGGGTTGGATAGAGGGCAGGAGAGTTCAGTGTGGAGGTCAGGGGACGGGGGCGCGGATGGGGTCGGGGCGGTGAGAGGGCAGGAAATGAGGGGGATTGAATGGGGGCAGGGGTCCGGGGGCAGTCAGGAAAGAGGGGGGTTTAATGGGGCAGTGGGGGCAGTCAGAGGCAGGGGTTCCGGGGGTGGTCAGGGGACAGGGGGGTTGGATGGGGCAGGAGTCCTGGGGGGTGGGGCATCAGGGGGCAAGAAGCAAGCGGGGGCAGATAGGGGGCGGGGGCACAGCCTCCCCTAACCAGCCCTCCATACAATTTCCGAAACCCGATGTGGCCCTCAGGCCAAAAAGTCTGTCCGGCCCTGGACTAGACCTACAGGTTCCCAAGGAAGAAACTGAAATACAGTTGGAGCTGTGAAGCAATTGGTTTCTACAGATAAATATCCCAGGGTACTGGCTAGAAGAATGAATCAAACAGACTCCATTTTGAAGTTCTGAAAGGATGGTAAATCAGTGAAACCAAAGTAAATAAATGGAATTGGACTCTTAAATGCCTCGGGTACTGATGTTAGTCATCCCATAATTAGGTGCTGAGCACAATTACAAACTGGTCCTTTTACAGAAGAGTGGAGAACAAACACAGGGAAATGAGATTAGTTAGGAGAAATCTTTATATTTTAACTGTGAAATGGATCTGACTCACCTGTCTCAATATGCTCTTCTGTCAGTGATGAAAACAAAGCCAGAAACTCCCTATCTAGATAAATCTAAGAGGATTAAAGTAGTCAAAATTATCTTTGGTTTATCTACATGGTGCCTCAGTCCACACCAGAGGGGTGTGCATTCTAATGCAGACCAGAGTGTCGCACACCAAGTGTCTTGTGTGGACCCTGCTGGTGCACACTAACATTCCCTAGTACATGTCAATGTAGTCATATTTCAAACAATAGTATATTAATCAATGCCAGTTACTGCACAACCTGCTTGTGTGCATCAGAATTAACACTCCTGCTGGTGTGGATTACGGTATTGTATAGACCAGTGGTTCTCAAAGCCGGTCCGCCACTTGCTCGGGAAAAGCCCCTGGCACGCCAGACCGGTTTGTTTACCTGCCACGTCCACAGGTTCGGCCGATCGCGGCTCCCACTGGCCGCGGTTCGCTGCTCCAGGCCAATGGAGGCCGTGGGAAGGGCGGTCAGCACATCCCTTGGCCCGCGCCGCTTCCCGCAGCCCCCATGGGCCTGAAGCGGCAAACTGCGGCCAGTGGGAGCCGCAATCGGCCGAACCTGCGGACGCAGCAGGTAAACAAACCAGTCCGGTGTGCCAGGGGGTTTCCCTGAACAAGTGGTGGACTGGCTTTGAGAACCACTGGTGTAAACAATCCCTAAAGTGGGTACCTACTAGCATCCAGGGCTGTGATGTGTATCTGATATTTTTGTCTTAGTAACATCATATGCCCCTCTTTTTCTCCAATTTGTACAGAAAGAAGAATATCTGAAATTCGCAATGGGATTGGAATAAACCTCAAGGTAGAGTCTTCACCACCGACATGTGAAGAAAGCATGATTTTTGTTTTCAAGTAAGTCCTTAGGGATGTATCAAGGAATACCTCAAACAAGGATTCTCTGGAATACGAAATGACCACGTTTTTATTTTGCTTTAATTACTCCTCTAGGGCAAGATTTTATCCAGTGTGTCCTATGGACTCCAATCAGCACAGCTGATAATCTTGTTAAATATTGGATAGTGTCCTAGGGGGCTATGGGTAGTTTGTTATTCTATCTAACAAGGCAGAAATTCTGCTGTGTACTATGGAAGAGGTCTTATGTGGACAAGTAAGTAGCTCAATGAGCCATTCAGTAAGTGCTCCAAAGGCACAAAACCACTGGACAGACAACAGCAGGTAGGACTATAAGAATACACAGTATCTCATCAGAAATCAATCCATACACTTGTCTAGAAGACCTCAGGAAGGGCTTGAAAAACTCAATACCTAGAAGACAACAGTCTACTGGCCAGGGTAAAAAATACCTGTGTGACCTTGCTCCAAAACCATGATCTGCTTCAGCTAAAAAGTAGGCCTCGTAAGGCTCATCATGCACTGTAGTTAATTGTAATTTACTGTAAAAAAAATTAAATACACATATATGTATGTTACTAGGGTTGGTTGATCAGCAGAATTTTTCTTGTCAAATATAAGGGTGATGTTACACTCCATATTTTATGAAAATATGATGGTATGAATAGGACATAACTGAGATATACTTTATGCAAGATGGATCATGTAAGATATGATTTACTGAATGCAATTATCCGATTTGTATGCATGTATCACTTCCTTATCTAAAGTTAGGAAGATTATTTAACTATTACAGCTGTGTGTATTTGGAAGACACCCACCAGACAACTGGCCATCACAGCCCTGATGGCCCATTCGGAAGAAACAACAAAACTGTGAAGATACTAATCGCTCTCCTTCCTGAGAGTCCTCCAGTGACTAGTGTCACTAGCTGTGACACTACTCGGTCAGGTGGTCCTGCCATATGGTACTAAACATTATCTTGGACTTCTAGTAATTTTCCACTCACAGGAGGGGGAGGTCAAGTTTGGGAAACAAAACGCTTCCCACCTCATGTAAATTCTATTTAAGGCTGGGAGGGAAGGCATTCCAGACTCTCCTTCATTGCCTACCCAAGAAGAAAGATTGCTGAAGGTACTTGTAAAGGACAAAAAAAAACAACCTGAAGGGAAAGGCAGGGGTAAGTCCAGACAGACAGGGGTCCAGTCTGTAAGAAAAATAACTGGAACTCTGAGCTACAGAAACTCTGAATCCTGCCTAAATTCAACATCTGGGGTGAGAAATTACATTTTGTAACCTGTTTCTTTAGTGAATCAAGCTTAGTTTGCGTGTTTTGTTTTATTTGCTCAGTAATCTGCTTTGTTCTGTTTGCTACCCCTTTAACAACTTAAAATCTGCCTTTTATAGTTAATAACATTTGTTTTGTTATTAAACCCAGTTTCTGTAACCTCTAATGGGGGTGTGGGGGGCAAGAAGTTGTGCATATCTTCCTCATTGAGGGAGGGAATGGATTTCACTAGACCTTTGGGTCTGCACTCCAAGTGAGGTGGGCACCTGAGAGCTGGGGCAAGTCCCTTAAGCTGAGTCTTCCCGCAGCGGGCTGGCCCTGCCTGTGTCTGTGCTAGAGGCGGCCTAGGAGCCTGGCTCAGCAAGACAGGCTAAAGGGGGCCCATGCTGGCAGAACAGGCGGGTTCATTGGTATCTCAGCACATCAGGTCCAGGTGGCATCTTGAAGGGGGGCAACCCATCACACTATTATCATATAAATGTTATCTTTTTTTCTGTCCTCTAGCAGAACATGGTATAGTACAGAGTTCTCTACAGTGTTCTTCCACCACCACCTCCTCCATTTTTTCCCTTTCTCTAAATTGTTTTCTACCCATCCTAGATTTTGTCTCTCCTTTTTTCCCTTCCCCTTGTCCCTTCACTCACTCATTCTCTCTTGCTCCATATTTTGTACTTTTTCTTCCCAACTTATTCCATCAATCTTTCCCACCACCCCAGAATATTTGATACACCCAAAAGCACATCCATTCATAGGCCCACACATAGGACTTGGAAGTTTTAACAGGCACCCAATAGTTTGACTTTTCAGCCTATTAACCCCAGAATAATGAGGACAACACCCATGTGACATGTCAATCTCCCACCAGCTTCTGGGAAAGCAGAGGTTGCTGGGATTCCTAATAGGAAGCTGCCCCCCTAAATTTCAGTAGTAATATTGTACCCAATGAAGTTAATCCAAGGGATGATTATTGCTCATTGAAAACTTGTTGTCATACTTGTTTGGGGGCTCCATTATTCATATCAGCCTCAGGATCCTAGGTATCAGATACATTTGAAGTCCACCTCAAAACCCACTATGTCTGCTGAAAGGGAGAATTTTTTTTAAACACAAGCTTAGATACCTCAGAAACTTACAGCACTCATCAAGAAAAGCTTTTACTTGCCTTAGATTAGTGGATTTTTCAAGCCCTGACCCCAGGAATGCCTAGAGGAGACAGGAGAAGGGATTCACACAGTCACGCTCTACTGGAAGGAGAAAATTTCCAGAGCGGTTAGCCTAACTGAACTCACTTGCAGGACAGTTTCCCACCTCTGTCTTTTCAGCTAATAACTTGCAGAAAACATGGAGGAACTGGGTTAAACAAGAGGAAAATGCAATCCAATTATAATACATTTGTATTTATTTGTACTGCAAGATGAAGAGGAATGGTGGCACCTGCAGTATTCATGTGAATATTTATATGAAATAATTCTATATACTACTTTAGAAAGCTTTAGTAATTTAGTAAATTTTTTAAAAAATCATGTTTAATAAGGTACCTTGAACATCTCTGCCTCAATTTGCTGATGAACACCTATGTAACTCTTCTTTACTTGTTGCTTGTCTTTGATCATCATTGTAAGTCTATGTAGTGGCCCAGAGTTAAGATCTTCTGCATGTGTCTTCATTATCCTGCTAAGTTGCTCTGTCTGCTGTACCATAAGCAGCCAAGACTGGAAGAAGGAAAAGGGAGAAAAGAACTTATCTGCTATTGCACTATCAAAAGAAACTGTTGGAAAAGTACATCGTCATTTAAAGGGGTTTTAGAAAGAATATTTTTGAACATTTGCCTGAATGCACAGTTTAAATATAGTAACCATGTCTTTAACCCACCCACGAAAGGGAGTTAGAGATGTATTAATGATGTATCATAGTCACATTTCAGCATCACGCCAAAGTCTGGGTCTGTCATGAAAACCATTAACCCTCACTTGAGTGATCACCCAAATTCCTTTACTTTGACAGACATGCTCCCAATGTCCTTTCTTCTTCCCTTTCCTGTATGTGTTTCCTGGCAGATTTTTCCTTTTATTTAAATCCATGTCAATTACATTACTAATTCTCTTGGCCATAGCCGTGGTAATTTTTAGTAGAGTAAATGATGTTACACGCAGGGCCAGAACCTCAGCTGGAGAAAACTGACATTGCTCCATTAACTTCACTGGAGCTACACTAATGTACATAAGCTGTTGACATGAGCCTCAAACTAGCATTTAACTTGAATAAAAGTATTTGATAGCCCATGGAACCTCATCCAGTTCTGCTAAAGAGAATAGAATGGGGTTCACTGGGCATTCAACTTCACGATAGTAGAATTTTTGTACTTCAGCACTGCTATGAATTACCATGTCCCAGTTGAAATTACAGAATTTAGATGGATACAATATATAGTTATCAGTGTCAGAATACGGCCAGCACACCCAGATCAATGCCTTGGTCTAATAAAATGTAGGGTTTTTTTTATGTTTTTTCATTACCACAATTGACTGTGTTCTCCCTTTTTACATCTCATCTGAAAAAAGACACTTCCATCTGTGCATGCCCCCTTAACACCAGACTAGACTGAGTTTAACAGAAACCTAAATGGAAGACCCCAAACCTATTAAATTATCCATAGCATTTCTTACAGTACTTAAGTGTTCTCTGGAATTCGCTCATCAAGGTACTGAAATAGTCCTATTACATTGTACTTAAACAATGGGATCTAAAAGCTGAAAAATAAAATTAAGGAACTGACTACTTACAATCATATAGGAAAAGTTATTTTTTCTTATCCAAGAGAGAAAAGAATATACTATTCTCAACTTTGTTGTCTAAAAAACTGTTGTATGGCATTGCTAGCACAGAATAGCTACTGCATTTCACCCCCTCAGAAATGCCAGCATTTTAGGTATAGCAATCACTCCAGTACTAAACATGCACAGTATTTTATACCGTAATATTTGGGATTCTATGGTATAAAAAAATACACTTATTTGGTGGGAAATATTGAGTTCTAGTGTGAAGTATAACTGTGTAAAAAACAAGATAAAAATATTAGACTCCCATGGTGTTTAAACTGAAAATCATTCTCTTAGTTAGACAAAATTAGAGCAAATAAGAAACAGAAATGACAAATATTGTAATAAATAGTAACTGACGTTTACAATAACTGAAGTAAAAGAAATGTTCAAAATACACTGACAAAGTGGCTGAATGGAAAAAAGGATGGGGACACTATAATGAAAAGAGAATTCTTTTGGGAGGGAAATCATATTGTTTATAGACTATATGGCCAGAAGTGAACATTTTAATTGTTTTATCTGATGTCCTGTATAACACAGGCCATAGGACTTGCCTGAACCAACTCCAATATTCATTTAAAAACTTCCTGTGATGGGAAATCCACCACAACCCTCGGTAATTAACCTCACTATTAAAAATTTGTGCCTTATTTCTAATCTAAACTTGTCTAACTTCACCTTCCAACCACTGAATCTTGTTATACCTTTGTCTGCTAGATTGAAGAGCCCTCTAGTATCAAACTTCTGTTCCCCAAGTAAGTTGTTATAGATTATAATCAAGCCACACCTTAACTCTTTCTTTGTTAAACTAAACAGATAGAGCTCCTTGAGTCTTCAACTATAAAAAACAAACAGTTACCTACCTTTCATAAACGTTGTTCAAGATGTGCTGCTCGCGTCCATTCCATGTTAGGTCTGGGCATGCCCACATGCATGGCTGCTGGACATTTTTCCCCTAGTGGTATCCGTAGAAAGTGACCATCACAGGTGGTAAGAAGGAACAGAGGGCTCAGGGCCAACAGCACTCCATATACCAGCACATTAGCACACAACTCCAGAGGGCACCAGAGCCAGCCCTATGGATACCACTAAGGGAAAAATCTCCAACAGCCGTGCACGTGGGTGTGCACAGATCTAACATGGAATCAACAGGAGCAAGCACTCAAAGATGATAACATGTTTTCTAATTCTTTAATCGTTCACCTGACTCTTCTCTGAACCCCCTCCAACTTATCAACATCCTTGAACTGTGGGCATCAGAATTGGACACAGCATTCCTGTAGCAGTCACACCAGTGCCCAATACACAGATAATATAATCTCCTTACTCCTACTCAGGATTCTCCTGTTTATACAACCAAAGATCACATTAGCCCTTTGGCCTCACTGTTGCACAGGTAGTTCATGTTCAGCTGATAATCCACCTTAACCCCCTCATCAGAGTCACTGCTTCCCAAGACAAAATCTCCCCTCTCCCAAATATGGCCTACATTTTTTGTTCCTAGATGTATTGACTTTCATACTAAATTGCATATTATTTGCCTGCACCCAGTTTATTAAGCAATCCAGATCACTGTGAATCAGTGACCTGTCCGCTTCATTATTCACCACTTCCTCAATGTTTATATCCTCTGCAACTTTATCAGTAACAGTTTTATATTTTCTTCCAGGTCACTGATAAAAATCTTTAGTATAGGGCCAACAACCAATCCCTGTGAAATCCCACTAGAAACACCTGCGCAGTGGTGAATCCCATTAACACTTACATTGAGACATACGAATTAGCCAGTTTTTATACATTTATGTGTGCCATGTTGAATTTGCATTGTTCTAGTTCCTTAATCAAAATGTCCCATGCAGTCCCAAGTCAAATATCTTACAAAAACTTATTACATTAACACTTCCTTTATCACCCAAACTTGTAATCTCAACAAAATAGGCTATCAAGCTAATTTGATAGGATCCATTTTCCACAAACCTGTGTTGATTGGCTTTACCTATATTACTCTCCCTTAATTCTTTATTGATCAAATCCTATATGAGCCATTCCATTATTTTGCCCAGGATCAAGGTCAAGCTAACAGGCCTATAACTACCCAGGTTGTCCCATTTACCCTTTTAAAATATTGGCATAATATTTGATTTGTTCCAGTTTTCTGGAACTTCCCTAGACTTAATATTAATATTAACCAGTCCTGAGAGCTTCTTGGCCAGCTCTTTAAAACTCTCAGATGCAAGTTATCCAGACATGCTGATTTTAAAAAAAAAAAAGTCTTGCTTTTGTAGCTGCTGTTCAATGGACAGGGAGTTGTGTAACCACACCCCTCTATAATCTTGGCTCTCTGCACACGGATGTCTAATTGTAGCAGCTGCATCAACCCCCTCAGTTTCTGTTGGAACGGAAAGTATTTCATATGTAGCAGTATCATATGATAGCAGTCCGGCTTTTTGCCGAACAGAGCAGAAATATTTATTGTACACTTCTGCCTTTTCTGTATTATTGACAAGTCTATCATTTCCATCTAGTAATGGACCAATATCATTTTTAGAATTTCTTTTGTTCCTAACGTACTCGGAAAAACGCCTTCTTTCTGTCCTTAACTCTGATGGCCACAGATTTTTCTCCTTCCCTTTTTGCTTCCCTTATCAATTTGCTATAATTTCTAGCTTCCTATTTACATTGAAGACACTGTGTAAACACCATTAATTTTTCCAACAACAGAGAAGTGGAAGCACAAACTGGGCTAATTCAGCTGCTAAATCATAGAACTGGGCTAATTTTGCTGCTCACAGCAGGAGGAGGTGTCCCACCCGATGGCAACCAGCCATCCAAGAATCTTTAGAACCTTTATAAATATTAAGGTTTGTAAAGAATGAGACATGACAACCCTATTACTGTTTTATTATTAATAAGCATATAGTATTTTGTTTTCTTGCTCATAAGTAAGGCTCCGTGTTTGTCACGGAGGTCACGGATTCCATGACTTTTTGTTACCTCCTGACTTCTGCAGAGGCTGGTGTCCCTGGCCCAGGGGCCACCTGAGCAGCTCGGGCAGTGCCTGGGGCAGTCTCGGTCCCCCCTGTTTCCCAGGAGCAGGAGTTTGGGTGAGAGGGGACACCCAGAGCTGGGGTGCAAGACGGTACTTATCTGGGCCCCCCCCCTTCCCCGGGAGGATGACAGGAACCCCCCTCCCTCAGCTCCTAGATCCACATGCTGCCTCCACCCGCAGGCACTGCCCCCGCAGCTCCCATTGGCCACAGTTCCCAGCCAATGGGAGCTGCAGAACCGGGGCTCGGGGCATAGCAGAGGCATGTGGAGCTAGGAGCTGGCGTTGCTGCTTTCCAAGAGTCTGGTAGGGAGCCTGCCCCAATCCCACCAACCTCCTCACCCCAGCACTTGCAGTGCCCCCCCGGGCCATGTCTCCCCACTCCCCAGCACCCGCGGCAGTCCTGGGCCATCCCCCACAGCACCTGCAGGGCCCCCTGGGCCGCCCTCCCAAGCCGCCTCCCCCTCCGCCAAGTTTTAGTCATGGGTTTATAGTAAAAGTCATGGACAGGTCACAGGCCATGAATTTTTGTTTACTGCCTCTGACCTGGTCCATGACTTTTATTAAAAACACCAGTGACTAAAACATAGCCTTACTCATAAGTTAAGGTGTCATGAACTTTTTTTTTTTTTTGGAGGGGGGTTGTTTCCATTAGTCAGTTGTTTCCATTAGTGCCTCGAAAGAGGGGAGGTTTACCCACTCTTTTTCTATCATGTGTGATTCAAGGATAGATAAAGGATAAGAAGCCTCTTGGTCACTTGTTCCAGTCCAATTCAGATTAAAAGTGATTTGGTGCCCACTGTGAAATAAGTGAGTTGCTCCAGTCCAGCGTTTTCAGCAGCGAGGCCAAGAACTGAAGAAGCCATTAAGACAGAGAATAGACCTCTCACTACCAAAGCAATCGTAAGTCAGGCCTAGCTTATTAACAGGTGAAATGGGGACGCTTGCTTTGCCACTGCCGTTGCTGTACCTGTTTTGTATCTATTCAGTACATAAGGTATTGTTTTTTAACCTTTCATAAAAGTTTTTTTTTCATTTTAAACTGTATACAAAATACTATATTTAACAATATTACAATTATGAGAAGAAGTCTGAGAAACTTTGGCCTTAATTAATGCTTTGTTTTTACAACTACACACCATGGTGTGAATAATGGTCAGAATGTCTGCCTTAGCTCTGAATTTCCTGGCTTTTTTCTATTTTTATCACAACCTGTACATTGTAAAAACAATAGTTTCTGTTTAACTCTTTAAAAAAAAAATCTTACTACAACACACTATAATCACAAAACCCCTAAACATAAGAATAGGTGGGTCAGCCCAGGGACTACAATACCAGAGCTCAAAATTAGGGATTCTAGCTTGGTCCACCTTTTTCAGTCCAAAAGGAGAATTTGCATGATACACATTCCGCCCAGGAACTGCCGCACCTCACTTCAAACTCTTTACTAAAACTAACTCTCAAGAAGCTGCATTAGTGGAGTCCAGTGGGCACATGGTTCACGTAGAATTATAGCTGGTCCTAACCCAGAAGGAAAATTGGAAAGGTGGGAGAATAAAGTAGATGAAACACAAGGCTCAGAGTGGCTTAAGCGATCCACCCACAAAGGGACAAAAATACCACAGGACAATGACACACTTTTCAAGTTCATCTTTTAAGTTTACTTTATAACTAAGAAAAAAGGAGTTAACAGCCGACTACCTTTTCTATATAATTAAAACAATGACTCCCCAATTTCAGCTTCTAAATAATGTTCTCTTACCTTGGATACATTGCTAATATAATCCAGTTGGGAAGTACTCTCTTTATCAACTTGATTACAAAGATTCTGTAACGTGGATGCATATTCTTTGTCACTTTTTACTCGCATGGCCATAAATTTCTTCACAGTTTCCAGTAGTCGTAACTCCCAATCTTGCAATTTTAACAAAGCATCATGAGAATACTTCAGGTCACTTCCAAACCCCATCTTTATAAGGCACTATATGCGCTATGGGCAACAATAGAGGTTCTTCTAGTCACCACATCTGCAGACAGAAAATTAATGAGAAATATATTGAAAGAGGAACCTGTAAAATGTAATGATCACAAAATTATGACACATATTGAAATTTAAAGCAAGAAGCAACTATTTTAATTTAACCACTCATCTCTGAACTAATATAGTCAGTCAGCCACAATTTTCAACAGCAAGACTCAGCTCTGTCTTGCACATTAACCACTTAGAAAACTGCTAGCAGAGGGGAAAGGCGGTCCTGGGGTTAAAGCACTAACCTAGGACTTGGGAGATCCAGATTCAATTCGCTATTCCATCACAGACTTCCTGTATGAATTTGAGCAAACTGCTCAGTCTCTCTTATGCAGTCTTCTCCATCTGCATAAAGTACTACCGTAACAGTACTTCCCTATCTCATAGGACTGTTTGTGAAGATAAATATACTAAAAATTGTGAAGTTCTTCGATAATATGGCAAGAGGTCCATACAAGTACACAAGATATATTAAATTCCCAAACTAAATAGATTGATTTGATTAAATAGTTGAGACAAAGATCAATGGAAACAGACATATTACAAGACAAAAATCCCAGATTATCCTGCCTGACTCCTAATAACCACAGAGCCTCCTTTCTTCACAGTACAGTGCTCCTGATAATCCACAAAATTCCTAATAATTAGTCAATTGTCAGGTGTTAACACTTTGCGAATCAGTTTCCAGAAGGCTAACAGCCATATATAAACCCCCAAACACAATGTAAAAAGACTAATAAGGTTTCAAAATCAAGTGCTCAAAAGTTCAGAAATGCCACCAGTGCAACCTTAATTCAGCCCCTTTGTGAATATACATTATGATACAGTCTTAGATTCAGGGGCAGCAGAGCCTTCCGAAAAGTGGGGGGTCCAGGGCCTGGCCCCATAAGGCCCTACCCCTCCTCTTTCCAACAGGGTCCTGCCTCACCCCTTCCCCCTGAGGCCCCTCCTCTTCCCTGTAAGGCCATGCCCCTACCCCACACCTTCCCCCAAGGCCTGCCCCCACACCCCTTCTTTCTCCAGAGGCTATGCCCCCAGCCAAGCCAGAGCAAGGCCATGGAGCCCACCGCCCACCCAAGCAGGTGGGAGGGACCCAGGCTCCCCACTGTTGTCCATGCGGCTCTTATCCGGCCAGGGGGCGGGGCTTTGGAGCTGCAGCCTGGCCATGGTAAGAGGCATGTGGGAAGCTATGGGGAGCCACAGCACAGATCCTCCACCTGCCCTGGACAGGGACACAGGCCGGGGGCTGCTCTTGGACCCCCCCAGCACTGCCGGCAGGTGGAGCGTCCACACAGCTTCCACAACTGCCCAGGATCCCTGGCCTGGCTCCACCAGCTTCCTCGGGGAAGATGGGAAGAGGCTAGATTCGCCATGGCAAAGAGTTGGAGGGCCACAGCTCCCTGCACCCCCCGAACCACCAACGTTCTGACACCACTGATTTGATTATATGATCACATACTATATTTTTTCTCCACAGGATTCCTTGCTCATTCAGAAGGGATGGTGCTCACCGGATGGGTAAGAACTCAATATTTCTTTTATCCTAATCAATTTACTGCACGCCATCCAAACTATGCACAGAATAAAGAATTAGTCAAGGTGGATAAAAATCAATGATTTTTTTTAAAAATGGATTTTTTCTTTATTTAAATTGGATTTTTTTGATAAAATGCTTTTTGAGGAAAAAACCTATCTAAAGATAGCTTTAATTAAGATACATTATAGCTCAAAGATATCTCACTGTTGAATAGGGATTATACATTTTAATTCTATAATATGAGATAATATTCATGTAACATTTAATAAAAGTTTTGGAAATGAGTTCCAGTAGTTCATGAATTAGGGACCCAATCTTATGGAGTTCCAAGGGCTTCTGTATAGATTATTTAGCTTAATCTTTCTATCTACCCAATGGGACTCAGTGCTCAATCTAGAAGATACCATCAGAGATGCTTAGTTTTGCAGTTCTCAAACTGTGGATTTATGGCTCCAGAGATAACATGTTTGTTAACAGCAAAAATGTTTTTAAATAGTATAATATAATATAATATATAGAGATGAGAAATAACAGACCTCAACCGTATTGTCCCTCTGCAAATTTGTATACACAGAGCCAATCCCTTACCTCTCTCTCTAAGTGCAAAGTTTCAAAAAGTTCAATGAATAGAAGATTGTTTGTGCCAGAATAGATCTGGACAAGGAGAAGAAGTCTGGAGATAAATGTGAGAAGGGAGGGACAGGCAGTAGAAACAAAAGTGAAACTTTTTGAGCAGCATATTCCAGAAATCTTGAGGTCTTTCTGAGTGTACCCTTCATTGATTTGAGATATACCAAACCATTCTCTCACTAGAAGGGAAAACCTATAATGGCAGCAAGCCATAAGAGATTCCCAATTTTGGAATATTTTAATGAAGTTCCTCTACCTGTGGGTAAGACAGGCATGCCTGCAAAATGCAAACAGTGCCACAAAGAAATGCAAAGCCTGGTTTCCTGAACGAAACAACATCAAGAGAAGTGTTTCTTCTCAGGAGGAAGCTGCGTTGAAGATGATGAAAGGAACAAGTCTGAACATGCAGGATCTTCAGGTTGGTAAATTTTTTTATTTCAAACTTCTTTCTTAAGGACTGCTGGTCTTCCTACTGGACTATTCTTGAATTCTCATATTTGAGAAAAAAATATAGTTTTTACTCTATGGTACTATCATTTTAGATGCAGTTGTGACAAAAAAAATAAATAGCTGTACTAGGCACATCTTCCTTTTACAATTTCACCTTTAAAGTAGTACTGAGTGTCAGTGAATGCAGTAAGTAACAATGAACAGTATGCTAATAAAAATTAAATAACTGCATTGACTTATTTTGTTTAGGAGAACCTATCCTCAACATACAGGATTCTGAAGACTATCCACCTTCAAGATCACCATAATTTTCTATAGTTTCAGAGTTATCTGCCAATGATAGTGTTTCAGTCACATCATGTATGGCACGCAGCCACAGTATATCACCTGTAGCAAAAAGAAAAAAAAAAATCTCCATCATCCAGAAACAAGCATAGATAAGTTTGTGATACGAACCAGCAGATTACAAAAAGAGGTAATTGATGAAAAAATTGTCGGGTTTGTTTATGCAACAAACTCTCCTTTTCGTATGATTGAGAACTTACACTTCATTAACATGGTTTAGTCATTAAGATCAGGATACAGTCCACCCAAAAGAGCAGACGTTGCAAGCAAATGGCTGGATAAAGTGTATGAAAGAGAAATTGAGCAGTGTGCAAAAGGTCTAGAGAGTGAAATTGTTAACCTGAGTCTTGATAGGTGGAGCAATGTCCACACAATCCTTTTGTATGTGCTTGTGTGACAACAGAAGAAGGGAGTATCTTCCTTACAGAAACAATTGATACATCAGGAAATGCACACACAAGAGAACACTTATAAGTAGCAGCAGTAAAAGCTATAACAAACTGTGGGAAAAAAAATTCAAATCCCTGGTACGCAGCTTGGTCACAGACAATGCTACAAATGTATCCAAGATGAGAAGAAATTTAGGAGAGAGTTAAGAGAGTCCCAAGCTCACAACATACGGTTGCAGTGTTCATTTGATACACCTCCTAGCCAAAGACTTCAGTGATCCAGAAATAAAGGCTAATGTTGTGAAATTGCAAAATATTTCCATAACAACCACTTTGCAGCAGCTGCTCTGAAAAAAATTGGAAGGAACCAAGCTAACTCTCCCACAAGACATGCGATGGAACTCAGTAGTGGACTGTTTTGAGCATATATCAAGAACTGGCCTAATCTGAGGACAGTTTGTGAACAGAATCGTGAAAAATCAGATGGCACTGTCACAGCCAAAGTTCTCAACATTGGGCTTAAGAGAAATGTTGACCACATGCTGAGTACCCTGAAGCCTATTTCTGTAGCCTTGAACAAAATGCAGGGGGAAAATAGGTGTTTTATTGTTGACGCTGTTGAAATTTGAAAGGAACTGAATGAGATCTTAAAAAGAGAAATATGCAATGACAGAGTTAAATTACAAGCATTAAAAAAAACCAATGGGGCAAGCACTATCTCCAACTCATTTTCTTGCAAATATTCTCAATACCTGGTACCAGGGTGAAACCTTAAATGCTGAAGAAGAGGAGGTGGCTATGACATGGACATCCAGCAATCATCCCTCCATAATGCCAACTACAATAAACTTCAGAGCTAAGGGTGAATGATTGAAGAAATATATGTTTGTTGATGATGTTTTAAAGAAATTCACACAAGTGAACTGGTGGAAGTCACTTAAGCACTTGGATTCAGAGACTGTTGAAGTGATAATCTCACTTTTATCAGCCGTAGCTTCTTCTGCCGGTGTAGAAAGAATATTTTCTTCCTTTGGACTGATTCATTCCAAATTGAGAAATCGTTTGGGACCTGAAAAAATAGGAAAGCTTGTTTTTCTTTTCCAGATTATGAACAAACAGGAAAATGAAGGTGAAGATGACTGAGTTAGCTGCAGAAGCCAATATTTTAAATTTCTCATATTGACCTGGCTGACATAGTCAATTTAATTTTTGTGGGGTTTTGTTTTGTTTTTTTAATATTTTATTTAACTATTTTAATTAAAAACAATTTTAACACAAACAAACCTTATTTTAAAAAACTTGAATGTTTAAATTCAAAAAATCATATGCTTGTTTTGTTACAATATTATATGTTTGCTGTTGAAGAAAAAAATCCAGAATACATAACGTTGTTGTTTTAGTTAAATAAAACAATTTAAATGTCTGTCTGGTGATGTTCTCCTCCTAATACAGCATGGCAAGAAAATCCTCCAAATATTAATGATTAACCTGTCGAATTGGAGATAGTTCACCCCCCAATGACTTCATACATATCTGCTTCAACTATCTTTGGAAAACGAAATAACCAAACAATCATTCATTTTCTGATACAGCTGTAAAACTAATCTGAGAAGTTTTCAAAATAGATCACTTTAAAAATGTATACTG